GAGAGAGAGAGAGAGAGAGAGAGAGAGAGAGAGAGAGAGAGAGAGAGAGAGAGAGAGAGAGAGAGGAAATAAGTCTATAGCAGAATTTATGCAGTCGCAAACGTATGCTAGGCCTTAGAAGTCTAGTTAACCGTGGATGGATAAATTAATTCTAGATTTATGGATAATATGCCTATATTATATATTACAGACTGTAGGTCTGTATTGTTGATAATAGGGCTGAATTAATTCTCTCGTCATCTACTCAGGTGCTTTTACCGGTATGTACGGCTTCGTTCATCCACGGGCCGCGGACTTTCTAACAATTTGACTCGGAGTGAGAATACGAGCACTTTCTTAAATGTATCTGCTGACTGCACTTTGCTAAATGTATCGGACTGCAATTCCGGGCAGAGCTGGATGAATCTGACCGCAATCACGTGCAGAGGTTATCAGGAAAGGTCGTGGTGTCACAGCACGCCTTGAGAGCTTTATTTACTCCGCTTGTAACTTAGTTCCTCCCTTTCAGATGAAATGACAATCTTTTTTTTTTTTTTTTTTTTTTTTTTGTTGAAAGGACACAATCTAACAACTGTCGAAGAAATTTCATAAGACTACCGTCTTCCGCCGAACATAACGCACCCTAAAAATGAATGTATACAAGCTATATTTCCGGCAAGATACAGCCAAAATAAGGGTGCGTTGTGTTCGGGGGAAGACGGTAGTATCCAATTAAAGACTACTCGATCACGACTATTCAATCAAGTCTATTTAATTAATTAAGAAAAAACAGTATCCAATTAAAGATTATTCAATGAAAGATTATTCGATCAAAGAAACATAAATCGATCAAAGACTATTTAATAATTAAAAAAAAAGCATAAATCAATCAACACAATATAATCAAGAAAAAAACATAAATCGATCGAGACTGTTTATTAGTATTTAATTTAATCAAGAAAACCCAAGTTCCAATATCCTACCCTAGCCTAAAAAAGAACTGCGTTTTTATTTTCCTTTTTTTTTTTTTCCCCTTTCATATCTACGATCTAATTGGCAACAGTTGAATACATTTCGTAATACCAACTAGCCTACCGTCTTCACCCGAATAGAACGCCCGGTCATTATAGCTGTATTTGGCACAACTTTCGGTCCAGATACAGAGATAATGACCGGGCGTTCTATTCGGGTGAAGACGGTAGCTCAGTCGGTACACTCGTGAACTGCTGAAATAAAGACCCGAGTTGGAAAAAAAAAGAAAAAAAAAGAATCATTCCGTACGACTGTTCCAGCAAGGAGTTGGAATTAACAAAAAACAAAAAACAAAAAACATTCCGTACGACTATTCCAGCAAGAAAACCTAAGTTGTGATATCCCACGCTAGGTAGCCTCAAAACCATGGCCCTCGCTCCACCAGACAACACTCACATGTATTTGGACGTTTTCTGGACCAATTGCATTTGGACGAGTGCATCATTTTGAACGTATTGGGTCCAGTAATCGACGAGTCCAACATTTTGAACCTATCGGGTCTGGAAAGCGTCCAAATGCCTACCTACATACGTACGTCACAGAGAGAGAGAGAATCATGTAGTGGAGCGAGGCCGTACATTTCTGTGGTGTAGAAAACGTACGGCCTCGCTCCACTTCATGGGTGTTAAGAGTGTCATGTAGTGGAGCGAGGCCGTACGGCCGTACGTTTTCCAGTTCTACACCCACCCATGAAGTGGAGCGAGGCCGTACGTTTTCTGGACCCGATAGGTTCAAAAGGTAGGCAGGCAGGTAGAACTAGAAAACGTACGGCCTCGCTCCACTACATGACACTCTACACCCATGAAGTGAAAGCGAGTCCGTACGTTTTCTGGAGCGAGTCCGTACGTTTTTTGGACCCGATAGGTTCAAAATGTTGCACGTCGGGTCCAGAAAGCGTCCATGATTCGAACGAGTCCAACATTTCTGTGGCGTGGAGTGTCATGTAGTGGAGCGAGGCCCATCGTTTTCTTTTTTTTTTCTTTTTTTTTTTTTTTGGCCCATCGTTTTCTACTTCTACCTGCCTGCCAGCCTGCCTGCCTACGTCACAGAAAATCTAAGGGCCAGATCCCACTGGCAAAGAGGATTGGAAGAAATGTCTGAATCTGGACGTGTTTGTGGACAGGTGCGAAAAATTGTGCTTGATCTACTTTTCTGTCCCTCTGCGTGGAACACGTCCAGATTCAGACATTTCTTCCAATCCTCTTTGCCAGTGGGATCTGGCCCTAAGTTCGCAACTGGGCCTGGCGCAGTTGGTACAGCCATGATGGAATTGTGGAAGCACACAGATCCGATATCGAATCCAGATGGAACTTGATGAATGGGAACAGCTGAAAACGTGGGGACCACCAACCGGCCTTGCTCAGCTGGTACACCGCTCGACTGTCTGAAAAGTACAGACCTGAGTTCGAACTCCACTGGAAACGTGGGGACCACCAACCGGCCTTGCTTAGCTGGTACACCCCTCACCTGTCTGAAAATTACAGACCTGAGTTCGAACTCCACTGGAAACGTGGGGACCACCAACCGGCCTTTCACACCGCTCAATTGTAAAATACTAGAATTCTTAATTACCTAGGGTGGGTCC